GCCTTCCCTCCTTCCAGTATGGAGTGTAGCTCTACTTCCAGCTCACTTGCTTCAGTCATTTTATGTCGTTTCTGTTTTATGTGCTGATATAGTCATCTGTTTCTGTTTTTTGGGCATATTCATGAGTTATCTGTGGCCTTAATACTTAGATGGTTGTGTATTTTGGTACTTTTTTATGCGTTCTGGTTGCCTCCAGGTAGATGTGATCAGAAGATGGGCTTCCCTTTTCACTATTCTTTCTGAGAAATTTCAAGATACCACTGTTGTGACGTAACTCAGGATTTAATTTTCGGCCTATTTCCTTTTTAGTCTACCTGTCCCGCTCCACAATCCCCATTCAGGCCTTTTTCCTAGTGATAAACAGTTCAGGGACAGCTGTGGCTGTTTTGCACTGTCGTTTGGTTTTAAGTGGAAACTGTCCCTTTAAATTTTGAGGAGATCTGTGCGCATGCATAGTAGAACCCTCTGGGGGTGGGGGGTGGGTGTCCACTTGCTCAGGGACCCCCTCTAGTCACCAGAATGGAGGTGCGCAGAAAGCAAGAGACAAATGAAAAGATACAGAAAAATAAGAATGTTCACACCTTTATCTCCACGATTCTGTCAGGCGTCCATGGCTGCTTTGATCCTTCCCACATTTGATCTTGCCCAAGATGGCAGCTCCGGGAGCAGCTGAGCGCCTTGGATTAGAAAGTACTGGAATTCTTGCTTCTGCTACAAATTCCCCTAGGTGTAAGCCTTCCAACCTTCTAAATATATTCCTTTATATGTGGTTCAGAGTTTTGGCACCATCCCTGAGCTTGCTTGGTCCAGTTTCTATGTTGTTGCTGATGGAGCTTCTCAGTGCACTTCCACCTGATCCGCCATCTTGTTTGTTCCTGTAAGAAGAATTTTTATGATTTGAAATTGCAATGCAGAATTTCACTTTATTTTGTCTGAAATCAAAGAAAATGGGAGCTCCCAATATTTATTATGGACTCCTGGTCTGATGCCATAGGATTAGTGCTGCATTTCAAACCACAAGGTCCGCTGTTCAAACCCCCCAGCTGCTCCTTGGAAACCCTATACAGGGTTGCTATGATGTGGAACTCACTTGACAGCACTTAACAACAACCATATTTATATTACGGAGTTAGCTTTGGTATGTCAAGACCGAAGTGTTTAAAGCTGTTGTAAGGTACCATCGAGTCAGTTCTGACCCATAGCAACCCTATGCACAGCAGAGTCAAACACTGTCCAATCCTCTGTGAATCCAACTCATTGAAGGTCTCCCCCTTTTTTGCTGACACTCCACTTTACCAAGCATGATGTCCTTCTCCAAGGACTGCTCCTTCCTGATAATATGTCTAAACTAAGAGAGACACAGTCTAATCATCTTGGCCCCTAAGGAACACTCTGGTTGTACTTCTTTCAACACAGATTTGTTTGTTCTTCTGGCAGTCTGTGGTACTTTTAATATTCTTCTCCAGCACTGTAACTCAGATGCATCAATTCTTCTGAAATCTTCCTTTTCCATTGCCCAACTTTCACATGCATATGAGGCTATTGAAACTACCATGGCTTGGATCAGGTACACTTGAGTCCTCAAACTGACATCTTTCCTCTTCAGCATTTTAAGTGCAACAGAACGAAATGACTGTGGCAATTTACTGGCCTCAAAAAGAGTTACTAGCATGATCAAACAACTCAGAAGCCAGAGAGAGATGTTTTTATTAGGTGAAAACGTATTTGCTTCCTGATTTTCTGTCAACATGCTGGGAAGGGTGGTGGGAAAGGTAGCATTCCAGGGAACCTGAGAAGTGAGCCTGTCCGCAGTGTGGTCTGCTGTGTAGAGTGGTGGTCAAGAGATGTTTTCTTATGCCCAGATTTAATATCCCTGCTGTTTCTCCCAGGACAAGACAGTAAGGGCCTTTGCCCTGACTTTATAAAACCTACTTAACAATGGGGGTAGTATGAAGTTGTGATTTTTGCTCCTAGAGGCAAAATAATTAAAATCTCTTTAATCTTTTTCTGAACAGACTCGATGGCACTTAGCAACAAAAATCTTTTCCCATAGTAGCATTTTATATTGTTTTAGTATCTTCTGTAATCCGTCCATCTTAAGGTATATATATCATTGTTATTGTGTAGGCACATGGTACCCATATTTATAATTTAAAACATTTTACAAAGGCCTGTTAAATTAAGTGGGTTTTTAGGTGACATTTTTTTCTGTGCATTTTTTGTATATTTCAGGTCACCCATTAAAAATTTTATATTTGCCCATATTGTTTTTACATTTAATATTATAATGATTAATTTCCAATCTCTAATGAGATATGGAATATCATATAAATAACTATTTCTACAGTTTTTCTTTTTTTTAACTTATGTCTTATCTTTTTATTGTGGTGGAAATATACATAACAAAACATACACCAACTTAGCAATTTCTACATATACAATTCAGTGGCAAGGATAGCATTTTTCAAGTTGTACAATCCTTCTCATTATCCATACAGGTTTTTTGAAGTTAGGCAGAAGAAAGTTGTAGGGATTCAGGTTTGATGAGCCCAGTTTTCTCATTGAAGTAGAGGGCGAGGGCAGAAACTATTGTTTTATTTCTATCTACATACCAAGTGTCTAGTAATGAAATCAAAAGATGAGTAATAGCCATGGTTGACAAGAGAATCAGAAATTTAGCATTCTTGTACATGTTTAGCAGAAGTAAAAATTGGTACAACCTTTTTGGAAGGTGTATTGGAGTCCTAGTATGGCACTGCAGGATAATGCACTGGACCACAAGGTAGGTTTAAACTGCAAGATCAGCAGTTCAAACCCAACAACTGCACCTCAGAAACCTTAAGTAGGGTCACTATGAATCAGAACTGACTTGACGGCACTTCCAACAATTAGAATATTTGAGAAACTTAGACATGGAATTTGATGCAAAAGTTTCACTTCTAATTTCATAGATAATCACACAGTGCTTAGATGTTTAAGGCTATTTTATACAGCCTTGTGTGTACATGTCAAAAAAAAAGGAGGGAGTACCACCCTAAATGTTTGTAGTAAGGAAATCATACGGTCTTTTACATCTTGTATTATCTAAAATTATGTTGTTGCTGTTAAGTGCTAGCCAGTCGGTTCTGACTCGTTGTTGTTGTTGTTAGGTGCCATCGAGTTGGT